GAATGCAGTTCTAGGTATCACAGGCAGTGTCTAATCGCCTGGCCCCCTGGCCAAGGTCTAACATATGCAACGTCAGGGCCACCACAACTTCTGGCCCTAGCCTGCCAAATCCAGAAGGCTGACCGTCCCCACTTGAGAAGACCTTTAACAAGCTTACTGTCTGGAACATGACACATGCTGCCCGAATGGCTGCGTCCCCGCGTGGAACGCGGTATAACAGTAGAGTCGCTTGGCGTGCAATTATCTAACCAAAATTCGAAGGGGGCTTGGGGATCTTAGATTCTGCCATACGGATTATGACCCTGACCCTAAAATGGGTTAAAAACCTCCTTTGCGATACAGATATCCCCTGGCGACAGCTGGCCCTACAGCAGATCAGAAGGCTGACCCCCCCCACCCTTGAGAGCATAGACTCGATCGGATGGCTAAGGGACAGATATTGGACTATATCAAGAAAGACAACGAGGCCAACTGAGGAGCAGGAATCTGATAGACAAGCAGTAAGGACAGACATAAAAAATGACCCCTTCTAAACGCCGCAGCTACGCTGCGGCGAAAGACGATGACAAAAACATTTTGTGAAACACCGCAGCCATCAGTTGGATACCATCTTTGCAATGTACCCCTACCGGAAGCTGCCCAACTTTGCAAAACAGCCCTGCAGTTGCCAACTTGTCGTAGGTGCAATTGCAAAAGGCCAAGCGGATTTACACACGGGCCTGACAGGGGCATAAGACAAACATGTCAGCCGAAAAGGCCGTTCCACTGTGTCCATATCTTTTAGGGGCATATTGACATATATCTCAACTTATGGGGGTATTTGGCAAATTACCACTCCCCCCCCAAAGGAGATTCTCTCTTCTCTCTTCTCCGGCTCACACGAACTCCTCCCCCTAGTGCGACCCAGAGAGAGAGAGAGAGAGAGAGAGAGAGAGAGAGAGAGAGAGAGAGAGAGAGATTTCCATCCATTGGTCAAGCAAGGCACTGGCCTGTGCATTGCTCATACCATCGATGGAAAACTGTCTCTTTCTCTCTCTCTCTCTCTCTCTCTCTCTCTCATCCATTGGTTGAGCAAGGCACTGGCCTGTGCATTGCTCATACCATCGATCGAAAACTGTCTCTTTCTCTCTCTCTCTCTCTCTCTCTCTCTCTCTCTCTCTCTCTCTCTCTCTCTCTCTCTCTCTCTCTCTC